TATCCTACTGTAGTGTGTATATATCCTACTGTAGTGTGTATATATCCTACTGTAGTGTGTATGTATCCTACTGTAGTGTGTATATATCCTACTGTAGTGTGTATGTATCCTACTGTAGTGTGTATATCTACAGCTGTACCTGTATTTGTGTAGTGTGAAGTGTTTATACACTTGTTGTTATGACAACATGAACACACACCATATATATAACATGAAGGATTTATGAGTATTTATACTATAACATGACGTACTGTATATCAGCTGACTGATTATTGGTGTATTGATCACTGGTGTATTGATTATTGGTGTATTGATCACTGGTGTATGGATTAGTGGTGTATTGATCAGTGTCTTACCTCTTGAGACTCTGCAGTTCGTCCAGGGTGAAGTCGAAGATGTTGGCCATATGATGGTTGGACGTCCAACTGCAGGACAGCTCATTCTGCACACGCACACACAGGTCAGTGTTGTGATCACAGCAGTAGAAACAGTAGTAAAGTAGAAACAGAGGTCTTACATTAGGGATGGCGTCTTCTAGCAGCCACTTAGACTTCCTCTTCCTCCTCTCAGCTAACGCACTGTGGATACACACACAGACAGGAAGTGAGTGTTCGTTTGGTCACTGTCTCGACTCGACATCAACACGACCTGAACTCACCTGTTTCCTTCAGTTTGACCTGAACTCAGCTCTGAAAGCTGCAGAAAGACAGATGACCTACACTCAGAGCTGTACCTGAATGGATCCTCTGGAGACACAGACGGAGGATAGAAGCTAATGCTAACACTAACACAGAGGTAGCCAACACAGTGCCCGCAGGCACCTGGTCGCCCGCATGGGCCCAATGAGTGGCCCGCAGGGCATGTTCTAAACATAGCATGAGTCACTGGAGAGCTCAGCCTAAAAATGATCTAAATTGTTTTTTTAATCAATAATACTTGTGTGAATGTAGAAAATGACAAGTTTGACACTGTATATGATATTTTAAAAACAAAAATGTATTATGTACAAACTTAACCTCGCCTGGGGTCAAAGTTTAACATGACCTAATTACTGCGCGAGAAGCATCCGCTTTTCCGAGGCTTCTGTAGCCAGCGGCCAGACGTAGCCACCATGGTGAGCTATTTAGGCGAGCGGTTAAGATGGCAGAAAAGCCAAAGAAAACATACAATTTCCATGACGAGTGGGAGGAAGAGTTCTTCTTCACAACAGTGAAAGAAAAGAGTGTATGTCTTATCTGTGGGGTGACTGTGGTGACGACAAAGCGGCACAATGTCAAGAGGCACTTCATTACATGCCACAAGAGCTTCAATGCTAGCTACCCACCTGGCAGCGCATTACGGGCAGAAAAAGCCTGTGAGTTAAAAGGCAGCTTTGGGACAAGAAGTGTTTTTTCACAAGGCTGGTGAAAAAGTCCCAGAAAGCAACTGAAGCTTCTTTTAGGGCTGCATACTTTTTGACAAAGCACATGGAAGCCATCTCCGCTCTCTCCGACGTCCAACTCGGGGGAAGTACAATCGCCAGAGGAGTATCAGCTCTGTCCGGGAACTTAACAGAGCAGCTGGACCGAGATCTGAGTGCATGCAGGTGGGTTAGCATCCAGTGCGACGAGGCAGTGGACAGCAGCAGTACAACACAGCTGATGGTTTTTGTCAGAATGGTGTTTCATGATTTCTCCATGAAAGAGGAACTCCTGACGCTACTGCCCCTGAAGACAACAACAAGGGAGGCTGATGTCTACAACATAGTTAAGGAGTATTTTGTGGAGAAAACGGTACCATTGGAAAAGCTGGTTTCTGTGACGACAGACGGCACTCCCACCATGACAGGCCGACATACAGGTTTCATTGCGCACTGCAAAGGTGACCCAGATTTCCCCAAATTTCTACACTATCTCTGCATCATTCACAAGCAGGCAATGTGCGCAAAGGTTACTTGCTTTGATCACGTGATGACTTGAAGATCATAAACAGCATCCATGCAAAAGCCAAACAACACAGGTCATTCAAAGTGCTGTTGGAGGAGCTGTCAGTTGAATATGGTGACCTGTTATTACACTCAGAAATCTCATGGCTCAGCAGGGGACAGGTTTTGCAGTGTTTTTTGTCACACTTGGGTGAAATCAAAGAGTTTGTGGAATCCAGAGGGGAAGGCGTATGGAGATAGATTTATTTCATAATGATGTGTGTGAACAGATCGATGATCTGTGTGTAATTGTGTCATCTGTAACAAATACAAAAATATTTTGCAAGTATAAAACGGATCTGCAAATACACAAACACATTCCACAGATAAAAATACCTGTGAATACATTAAATTAATTGCAATTAAATGAAAAGGATTGTGAATATCTTCCTAACATTTACAAGTTTCGAACAGGCATTTGTGAACTCAGTTTTAATTTGTGAATCGAAAAAACATTTGTGGATTCCAGCTCTACGCCTGTGGATTTGCTTCTTACACACACAGAGTTTTGAAACAAACTTTCTGCCGGTCCAAATTCGGATAGCACGTGATCACCCAGCTGATGACATCATTTCCGCATTTCAAAGTAAGAGTTTATTAATAATCAGCGATAAGTAACGTGCATTCATTGTTTTATGTTAATGTAATACAATGAGTATTAGTGTGTGTTTATTTGTTCTATGTATATTATCTGGCACACACTTTTCTATACATTTCTGTTTCTGTATGAAACTACTACGATGCTAGTGGGCAACGTTCAACGAAATGTAGTATTGTAGTTTTATTGTTCATTGTTAATATGTAGATTACGCTAAGCTAACGTTAGCTGCTGAAACGGCATCTGTTGCCATGGCAACAGTAAACATTCATGTTGCGGGCTGGGGGGACGAAAGCAGGGTGCAGCATTTTATACATTGTAAATAAACCAGAAGTCAGTACCAATGGCGGTGAGGAATCAGGACAGTCTCATCATATGTAGCATACCATATGAATAATATTCATTCTGAACGGTGCAAATTTATGTAACTTGTTAAAATTATATCAAACAAGTCGTCTCCATATTACTCAGAACCCTTGAAGTAGCTCTCAGTTTAAAAAAGGTTGGTTATAACTGCACTAACATGACACTACCGTGCTGCTAAATGACTGCCTCCTTAAGGACTAAAACTGAACTACTTCCTGGTTTTAGGACTACAAATTGGACTACTGGTGCGTTCCAGGCAGGCTTTTGAACTCGTAAGTCACGACTCCAAGTCACGAGTTACGACTTTGTAGCGTTCCAGGAAAGTTACGGCAAACTGCCAGTTACTTCCTGTTTAATGTTCAACATGGCGAACCGTTTGTTTGTGCTTCCCCATTATTGCTATATAGATATAGATACATAGATGCTATTATAGGCTATTTTTTACGTTATCTGTGTGTTTGGAAACGTATTTTGTATTGATTTATTCTTGCACTAGAAACCAGCTGTTAGAGCGGCTGCCAATAATGCGTTAACATTAGGGTTATTTTATGTCTATTTCTCACCATGTATCACCTGCATCAACACCGCATCCACAGGGCTGCCATTGTTGTTTAGAGGAGTAAGATAATTGGTTTAGAGGGCTGTGTGACGTCAGAAACCGTAACTGGGAGTACATCGATCTGGTACGAGTTCACGGGTGGGAAGTTATGGGTTTGACTGCCATTCCAGTGCACTTTCACGGGTTACAGGTTGTGAAAACACGAGTTACAGGTTGCCTGGAACGCACCATACCTCCTGACTTTTAGACTACAAACTGAACTACTTCCTGGTTTTAAGACTACAAACTGAACTACTTCCTGGTTTTAGGACTATAAACTGGACTACCTCCTGACTTTTAAACTACAATTTGAACAACTTCCTGGTTTAAGGACTACAAACAGGATTACTTCCTGGTATAAGAACTACAAACAGGACTACCTCCTGGAATTAGGACTACAAACAGGATTACTTCCTGGTATAAGGACTACAAACAGGACTACTTCCTGGTTTTAAGACTACAAATTGAACAACTTACTGGTTTAAGGACTACAAACAGGATTACTTCCTGGTATAAGGACTACCTCCTGGAATTAGGACTACAAATAGGACTGCTTCCTGGTTTTCAGACTACAAACTGACTTGACATTGAAACGTAGGCCCAATTCCAATCCGATCTCTTACAGACTCACTGACTTAGAGACGCGTTCATGTGAAGTGCGTGAGTGTGTGAGGGCTGTCCCATTGTCAAATCGTCAAGTCAGTGAGTCAGTGAGTGAGCCCTTTATGCCCCCTTACCGTAGGTCAGCATTGATGCGGACTTATGTAAGGAAATTACCCACAGTTCATAGCGTTGTGATGTCAAATACAGGGGTTGCCCCTGGAACACCAGAAGTGTTATAAAAAAAAAAATGAAAACACGGTCGGCAGATATGCAAACGGTAACGTTATGGAAGGAGAGCAAAAAACCAGATAGATAAACAATGAAACATTACATTAACAAGGATTTAAGATGGTACATAAACAAACATGAAGTCAGAGGAATACCAGTGGTTATATTCCACACACAAAGAACAGCCTATATATCTATATCTATATAT